TAGTCCACGCACCTGTGATGTAGGAAACAAAAATTTCACTGCCCCTGTTTTAAATAGAAATCAAATTAAATCTGGGGTCAGGGATGGGTCAAACCACTGCATACAACATTTTCAGGACTGCAAAGTTAAAACTTGCTTGGTCCAAATCACCAGAAAAGACATTGTTGTTCTCCCTTCTCTTGTTGAAAGTTAGGAGTAGCTCTTAAGGACTTTTGTGGAACATACTTAACATCTTGACATGCTCAACAGGCAAATGGGTATTAACCAAAATGCACAGGCTGACGCTGAATGTAAGGCCTAGCTCAATTCACAGAGGTTTCATTTTTAAGTGACAAGACTTACACTCTGACATATTTAAGCTTAAATTGCCCCTGGATCTTGTTAACATGCTGACATATATTAACAACCACAATGATTAATAAGCTCTATTATTGTAGCTGGTGAGTCTCCCAAGAGTGTAATTAGAGCAAAGCAGATACTAGCTACCTGAGCAATTTCAGCCCTTCATCCCCTAGAAGACTATGTGAGGAGATTGTCTTCATGGTTTCTATGTAATGGCAGGGAAGTATTTGGGGTACTGAAAGCAATGAGAGTCCTGCCATGAGTTCTCTCTCCAGACAGGTACTTCAGAAGCATGTGCTCCCATCATGTCAGTGTCTGCAGCCATAATCAAAAGATTGGATGCTGGGGAAGGGGGAGGGCGGCAGGAGGAGGGGGGAGGAGGGAGGAGGGGACGGGTATTTGTATACACAAGGAGTGCAATGCGCACTACCCGAAGGATGGACATATTTGAAACACGGACTTGGGGGGGGGGAACCAAGGGCAACACACGTAACCTAAACATCTGTACCCCATAATATGCTGAAAAAAAAAAAAAAAGATGCCTTCCATTTGAGCAGCAGCGTTAGTTAGACTCCACTGCCCTGGTAGCATAAGAGGTCATGACAATCGTAAGAAGCAGTGGAAGGGTTAAGGGGCCTCCTGTCTCGTACAGTTTTAGGCAGCAAGTACTTTAGCAATTCACATGGAGTCAGCGCTGAAAGTCCTATGAATCATCCGAGCAGGTGCTAGGATGTAAACAGAGCAGAGGCACCCCAAACTGAAAAACATTCACCTTAGATGAACTTACTCAGAATCTTGCAATCAGATAATCTGAAAAGAAACTATTTTAATTTCAGAGTACATGTAATTTTTTATTTCACGATTTAGCTTTTTTTAAAATTTACAAATTTAGATTTACTATAATCTCAGTAATCGAGGTATCCAAAAGTCTTAATCCTGCCTTGACAGTAGACCCAATAAAGTAATGGAGTAACTGGGCTCTTTGCTTTCCAATGCTCATCTCTTTAAAAATTGACATTTAAGAATTCATGTATCTACTACTTTTTAAAGTCAAACCTTACAATTAAAAAAAAATCAGATCTATGCCTCACCTCCAAGTTCCACTTTCCAAAGTCTCAATTCTTTAACTACTTCTCCTTCTCCTTCTCCTTCTCCTTCTCCTTCTCCTTCTCCTTCTTCTTCTTCTTCTTCTTCTTTGGTATTTACCTTTGTCTTTCTATATCACATGTTTATAAAGCCATTTTTTATTTTAGACTATCTACAGACTTTCTACTATGTATGGAGAATGTGAATTTTGTTCCTTCTTTCCTGTCTGTTAAATACACACACACACACACACACACACACACACACACACACTCACGAATATTTTCCCGCTGTCCATCTTTCCACTATAATTTTTAGATAATTCAATGTTTAACTGATCATGACTATGTAAATATTGTACATAACTAAGCCCTTAATGTATGCAGATTACATTTTCTTTCTTTTATAACTTTTTGTTTTTCCAGGAGTTAATAATTGCTTTGAATGTTTTACTTTGCTTAGTTTTCGGATTGCTTTTCTCTAATTCATTCCTAAACTCTCCAAAGGAACTGAAAACGTCTTTCATTCTGGTCAAATCCAAATGGGTTATCCATTAATTTGGTTCCTCCATGTGAGATATCTACTCATTCTTTGAAACTCTCTGACTCATTCCAGTCTAAATGGATTCCTCTCCAGCCCTGTTGCCCAGCTATCATCCAGGGACCTTTCTTTACTATCATTCCAGGAATCCCCTTACCTTCTCTCCTATGTTGGATCCCCTATTACCTGAAGTCCATGTCTTCCTCTTTCTTGATTTAATCCTATCTTTTGATGGTACATATCCTCTAGAAACTTCTGAAGAAAAGTCATGGGAGGTAGATATTTTTGAGACCTCATTTTTGAGACTGCATGCCTGCAAATGTCTTTATTCTTCTCCCACACTTGACTGGTGGTTTAGGTAGATAAACAATTCTAGGTTCAAACTTTATTGTTTAGCTTTCAAGTATTGTTGAAAAATAAGGCACTTATCTTTTACTTGATACTTTATAAGTGATCTGTTTTATTGTCTCTAGATATTTTTCTTAAGCTCCAGCTTATTCTGGACTCTGGAATATCTGATATTTTTCTTATAGTTAATTCTCTCTATATCCTTTGGTTTTTGAAGTCCATGTCTTCCTCTTTCTTGATTTAATCCTATCTTTTGATGGTACATATCCTCTAGAAACTTCTGAAGAAAAGTCATGGGAGGTAGATA